TTATCTCTGAAAGATTTTATTCACTGTAAATGAAAGGAAAGGGAACTTTCCCAGAATCAATAACCACTTAACTTTGGAAATCCAAATATTTTAAACTTTTCTGTTATTAATTGCTGTGCACTTAATCAGCATATGAGAAGATTTCTGTACCGTGGCTGCCCAGGGAAAGCAGGCCGTAACACAATCTACTGTTCACTTTTCAATATTGTAACAGTAACGTGAGGGTTCTAGTAACACTTTTAAGCCACAAACTCTATCATTATCAGAGAGGGGAAGTATTTTGGAGAAAAAAATCGATTAGGGAGGGCTCTGAAGAGTATTGCCAACTCTAAGCATTCAAAAACCATAAGTCAGGAAACAGAAGTCCTGACTAGCTTAAAAATAATGAGATTTTAAAAAGCATGTTTGGGGTTCTCTTTATTTGCCATCTTGTGTTAGAATATGTAAGGATCATGTTTGCAAGGTTTCTTCAGCAGCCACCTGGGCTAGAAACTTTTTTTAAATGAAAGCAAAGAGTCTCAAGTAAAAACCTCATTCCAGCAGCTGGGGCTTTAAGAAAAAAACAAATATTGCGAGACTTGCAATACAATCTTGAGAGTTGGAAAGGCTGCAGATGTGAAATGTATGGATGCCTGCCCCCATAATCCATAAAAATAATGATAAAAGTAAAGTGTTTTAAAAAGACACCCTCCCAAGGCTTGTTTCACTTAAATCAATCTCTCTCGGATTTTAAAGCGTTTGTTTAATGGCAGTCAATCAGCTGTCCCTTTTAATAGCACCAGGATTTGAGGAGGTTAATTGATTCAGTTTTGTCATTCGGGGTCTATATTAATAATGCTCACTCTGCATTACCATCTAAAAAGCTATTGCCGTGTAGTGAATTGTCTTTAGACCCTGCACAATACTGAAATAGTGGTTTGTTCTCTCTTTGAATTTATAGGACTGATAACTGCAAGTCTGCTTGCATGCCTCTCCTGGTTCTATGGGCTAAGTTCTTCCCCCAGCACATCACTCCCGCTCTGTCAATCATTATGCTTGCTCCATGTTAAGAAACATATAGACTACAGAATTGCTCTTTTGACCTCTAACTCATTGTAAGGCCTTGCTCCCTCCTATTGAATGGATCTGCAGCAAGCTGCTCTTGGGTCAGTGGATTCTGATTTTCTGGCCATCTCTAAACATCATTTGGAGGTCTCAGAGTGATAGAACCTGTGCTTTATTTGTTTCTCTGCCTTGCCAGAACAGGTAAGAGACATGAATATGAATTTTAAAAGTTATTTGTCTTATTGTTCATTTTAAAAAGGGGATTATGAATTCTGTTGGTCAGAGTGCTAGTTTGTATTTTACAAGGGTGCTTTAGAAGAAAAGCATTTCAGAAATGCTAGATCTAATGTAATGACCCCTGTAAAATAAAAACAGAAAGATTCCCACTCAAAGTACTATAATGCAGAACAGCAGAACTTTCCAAAATGGAATTTGGGGAATGAGAAAGAATCAGACTAGGTTTTCTCAGTACAAAGTTATACATTTAAAAGGTTCTCATAATACTGTAATAAGCTAAAGGATACATTTTTGGAACTGTGTATGCAGATATGCATGCCAAATATGCATGCACAAATCCTAATAATTGCATGTTCAACGACAAATGTAAATAATGGGTGTAAATGTACATACATAGTTCTGAAAGCCTAGACCTGTCTATGTCTCTGAAACATAACATGGAATAAGAAAATAAACTTTTTTAAAACTGATATCATGTCTCCTAACATTACTGTACTTACTGGCCTGCCTAATATGATTTTTAAATAAATTTGTTTTACACATAAGTGACAATGCATCTTGACTGATATTGATAAAACTAGATTAATTTGGACTTTTAAAAAATACTTAAACCTTAAAATTTTGACACATTAACCCCCCTTCCATAACAAAAACAAATCCCACACAGTAATTATTTGGTAGCAAAGCCTCCCACGTGCTTCGAGCATGGAGCTAGAAGTCAGTCAATATGAGTTCTATTCCTTACTGTGCCTACTCCTGACTTGCCATTAGCCCAGCACTTAACAACCCTGTGTTTCAGTTCTGTCAATTTAAAAACAGGGATGACGTCACCTACCTTTTTAACACACTGCGAAGGTTGGATGAAATTCCATCCTCAGCACGAAAGAGCTAGAGTCAAATTTCACATGAACAATGCTGGGAGATTCATGTGGGATTATCAAATTAAGAATAAAACAGTACAACTAACGGTGCTACAAAACATGCGACGTGGGGTGAAAGATCACTGTCTTCCTTGTTTGTCAATGGAGCTGCCATACAAAATCTCATGATATATTGCTTTGTTAGTTGGATAATACATTTGGATCACCAGCATATTAGAAAGCTGACTTAATTAGGCCCAGAACTCAGTGATGCTATTGTTAGTGCAAGAAGCAATAAACTACTGTGTGAAACACAAGGCCTGATCCTGTAAGGCCCCCGAGCACTGAACTCTTACTGCCATCAGTTCAAGTTGTGGAAGCAGACAGCTTTCAGGATCAGGCCGCTGGTCACGATTCCAGGTGAAGAATTATTCAGTTATGCAGTGTATGTACAGCTGCTCATTTGAAAATATTAGATATAATGCTGTCAAGATGTTACTCTCTGTTTCTCACACACCTCAAATAGCAGTGTATAAATATTTTAAGATATACAGGAAACTACCTATGGAAGATTTCCTTTACATTCTAGTGAACAATAGTCCCATCGCTAGCACAGGTACTGGGCCATCTGCCATATGCTAGGTATAGTAAACATCTTAAAATGTGTTTATAACATCCAATCACTACACATGCACCCAGAGATTTTTGAGATGTTGTGCATCAGATCCTTGGCTGGTGTAAATTATTTTTTACAAATTACTGGGCCAAATTACTACAGTAGTTCCACTGAAGTCAATGTACACCAATTGAGGATTGGACACCATGACTCATAAATTTGATTCTTTTTGAAATCCTTATTTTATTACAAGCACTCGATGCCTCTTCATTTGCCTGGGAATCCACAAATAAAGTTCAATCCCCATTCTACCCCTATCTAGTACAGGCAGGTATTGTAAGTCCCTCCCCTCCCTCCCCTTTCTAAAATGGAAGTTACATTAAGTTATCTATAGAAAAATATTTGAGTGCTTCTACAGGAGAAAAAAAAGTCATTCAATGCAACTAGATCTGTCAGCAATAAACATGCACATCATGCACCCTGAGTTATATAGCCAAAATTATTTTTTTATTGGTACAAACTAAATTAAACTTCCATTCAAACCTCTGACCACTGACCCAGTCACCTTGTTTTCAATTTGAGTGAATTTAATACTCGTAAAAGTGAAGGATTAATACCAAACAGAATGAGGCACGAATCACAAACCGGCTAATATATAAGTAACTAATCAAAGTCCATTAAGCGACTCAAAACCTTCTGCAATCACTAAACTGACTCAACAGCACAAAGTGATTGCAACATGAAAAATCATTGCATTTTAGCATTATCGTAATAAAACATGGAAAGCTAAGATGGAAAACAATCTGTGTTGTGTTAATAAGCTTAGGTAGCAATTAACTTGTTTCTCCAAAACTGTATCCCAGACTCATTAGTCTGGTAAACACCATAAGCTGATAATGGACTATTACAGACGTCTACAAGAAGTTGTTTCAAACCACCATGATAACTTTTAAGACATATGTTTAAAGAAAGCAGAAAAATTAATGTTAAACAATCACATGAGCTTAATATTTCTGAATTATATATTTCAGGGGGGAGGGATAGCTCAGTGGTTTGAGCATTGGCCTGCTAAACCCAGAGTTGTGAGTTCAATCCTTGAGGGGGCCACTTAGGGATCTGGGGCAAAATCAGTACTTGGTCCTGCTAGTGAAGGCAGGGGGCTGGACTCAATGACCTTTCAAGGTCCCTTCCAGTTCTAGGAGATAGGATATCTCCATTAATTTAAAAAAAAGAATGCTGAAATACAGAAAGGGAACTGGGAAATAAAGTAAGCTTTTGGAGTGGTTGTTGAGTCGTTCAATGGTAAACATCTCCAAACAAAGGGAAATAACACTTTGGCAACATCTGTCTGTCACAGAGAGTGTCAGAGATGTTGGAAGAAAAATCAAATTGTCTGTTAGAGCTGGCTGAAATTTTTCAATGGAAAAACTCACATAAAAATAGCCTTCATTCAAAAATGAAATTTTGTCCAGAACAGTCAACATTATCAAAAAATTTCCCCATGCTCTTTTGGTAAGTTTTTCAATTTTGTTATATAAGACATAACCAAAATGGTTTTTATTTAAAAATGAAAAGTGTGAAAAACAAAAATGGATCCATTTCAAACACTATGAAATGAAAACAACTCCAAAAATTTCAATATGTTTCTTGAAAATGGGTTTTCACTTTATGGCCACTCTACTGCCTTAGTAATAGCATCACCTAGCTCTTTCATAAGTAGATCTCAAAGCACTTCACAATCTGCTGTATGCTAAAAGCATACAGTAGTCTTCATGTTACTTACCTACTATCCTGTCCTGTGCATTGTAGAGAGGTAAAGTAAAAGCCACACAGCCACAGTGCTTATAACAATACCAGAAAGCCAGGAATATCTTGAGAAACTGAATACAATGGGCCACATCCTTAACCCTTGTGAAGTCCCTTTGCACCAGTCCAGATGGCATAATACGGAAGAGCCACTAGGCTTCTTCAAGTTACTCTATGGGTCATTTTCTCCTCTGGCAGCCACAGGATAGGGGACCTGAAAGGTGGTTTAGCAATGCCTTTCCTTGCTTCTCTCCTTAGCCACACTGAGCATAAGCTTAATAGAGCGGAGGATCAAGCCCAAAGATGGTGTCCATACTGTAAGTTCTCTTCCTTTAATACGTGGACTCAATGCAAAAACTGCATAGGACAGAATGAACATCAACAGTGAAAGTGTTACGGCAACAGTATACAGTAAGTGTAAAAGATACTTTGTTTACCTCATGTGGATTTGTGTAGCCCAGAAGTAGATTTGCTGCTTTAATGTCACCATGAACATACTCATTTTCATGCATATATTCCAAGGCATCCAACTAGGAAAGAAGTCCATAAGGGAATGTTTATTAATTATTATTCTCATTATCACCTAAATGTGCTTCACTCATTCAATGAGCCTCAACTGCCACATTATGGGCTAGAATGTGAGGTCATGATCTGCCCTGCATTAGCTGAAGCCCTCCTGGTTCCCCTGGGATCAGGGATAGATTATATTGTTCTGGGTCTATGCCCATCCCAGTGTACACTGCCAGATGCATAGGGAAGGAAAGCAAAGCTAAGACTCCATCCATTTCCTGCCCCATTCTATCCACTTCCTTCCACTGCTATAATACAGGTAGCTGATGCAGGGATGTAAGGGCGTGCCAGCTGGGCCACATTTTATCCCTATACATCTGCCCTATACATCTTTGAAATTTCTAAAATATCTTTAAATGTGATGTTAAGGTCTTTTCTCTCATGATCCATTAATGAAACTAATACTTTATAATACTGGAAGGGCAGGGGGAATTCCTAACTCTCCAAAGGGAGTTATCTGGTCCTGATGGTTCACAAGATATTGGACCTTAGGACTGTTAATAGACTAATTATTGCTCACCCTGCACTTCAGATCAGGAGGGGTCCTTTCATATTTGATGAGACGAGAAACATGTTTATAGCGGGCTGATTTACACAAAGAAAAAAAATGGCTGTTTGAGAGGCACCCAGTTTTGGAATGTTAAAACCACTGGTCCATCAGTGAAAAGGCATTAGTGACAGAATGCAGGCAAGATGATAAAGGGGCAATATAAATGCTTTTTATTGCATTTGTTTGATAATACAGTAGACCCTTGCTATAATGCCCTTTACAATAGCAAACCTTAAGCTATAGCGAATGTGGTCCCTGGATCCTGCCTCCAGCCCCGCCTGCTGTGGTGGGGGATTGAGAGCTCCTATGGCCCCAAGACTGCAAGTGTGTGGGGCGGGAGGGGGCACAAGGGGTTCCTTTGGCCCCGGGACCATCAAAGGAGCACTCCCTCACCCGCTTGCTATACCGCACAAATGGCTTGGGTCCCCAGGGGTTTGTTATAGCAAGGGGTACTGTGCCACTCTCCCACAAACCAAATGGCATTCCCAAATGACACAGCATATAATCTCCCATTAATCTATGCTAATTTAAAGGAATTTGAAAACAAGACTGATACACGTACAATCCTACAGGCTTATTTTGGCCTGCACAATGATGATGTGAAATCAGACTAAATATCCTTCTGCATAACAAAGATGGCAGTGATGAAAGCACTGTGGCAAAATTGTCTAACCTGCATGGCTCACATGGATGGTGTTCCAAGAAGGAGGATTGCTAGGCAGAGACGGGCTCCAACTAATGAAGAGAGGGAAGAGCATCTTCGCAAACAGGCTGGCTAACCTAGTGAGGAGGGCTTTAAACTAGGTTCACCCGGGGGAAGGAGACCAAAGCCCTGAGGTAAGTGGGGAATTGGGATACCAGGAGGAAGCACGAGTACAGGAGAGTGCAAGAGGGGAGGGCTCCTGCCTCATACTGAGAAAGCAGGACAATCAGCGAGTTATCTTAAGTGCCTATACACAAATGCAAGACACCTGGGAAACAAGCAGGGAGAACTGGAAGTCCTGGCACAGTCAAGGAATTATGATGCGATTGGAATAACAGAGACTTGGTGGGATAACTCACATGACTGGAGTACTCTCATGGATGGATATAAACTGTTCAGGAAGGACAGGCAGAGCAGAAAAGGTGAGGGAGTTGCATTGTATGTAAGAGCAGTATGACTGCTCAGAGCTCCAGCATGAAACTGCAGAAAAACCTGAGAGTCTCTAGATTAAGTTTAGAAGTGTGAGCAACAAGGGTGATGTCGTGGCGAGAGTCTGCTATAGAGCACCAGACCAGGGGGATGAGATGGATGAGGCTTTCTTCAGGCAACTAACAGAAGTTACTAGATCACAGGCCCTGGTTCTCATGAAGGACTTCAATCACCCTGATATCTGCTAGGAGAGCAATACAGCAATGTACATACAATCCAGGAAATTTTTGGAAAGTGTAGGGGACAATTTCCTTGTGCAAGTGCTGGATGAATCAACTAGGGGCAGAGCTCTTCTTGACCTGCTGCTCACAAACAGGGAAGCATTAGTGGGGGAAGCAAAAGTGGATGGGAACCTGGGAGGCAGTGACTATGAGATGGTCGAGTTCAGGATCCTGACACAAGGAAGAAAGGAGAGCAGCAGAATACGTACCCTGGACTTCAGAAAAGCAGACTTTGACTCCCCCAGGGAACTGATGGGCAGGATCCCCTGGGAGAATAACATGAGGGGGAAAGGAGTCCAGAAGAGCTGGCTGTATTTTAAAGAATTCTTATTGAGGTTGCAGGAACAATCCATCCAGATGTGTAGAAAGAATAGTAAGTATGGCAGGCAACCAGCTTGGCTTAACAGTGAAATCCTTGCTGATCTTAAACACAAAAAAAGACGCTTACAAGAAGTGGAAGACTGGACAAATGACCAGGGAGGAGTATAAAAATATTGTTCAAGCATGCAGGAGTGAAATCAGGAAGGCCAAATCACCCTTGGAGTTGCAGCTAGCAAGGGATGTTAAGAGTATCAAGAAGGGTTTCTTCAGGTATGTTAGTAACAAGAAGGTGGTCAGGGAAAGTGTGGGCCCCTTACTGAATGGTGGAGGCAACCTAATGACAGAGGATGTACTCAATGCTTTTTTTGCCTCTGTCTTCACGAACAAGGTCAGCTCCCAAACTACTGCACAGGGCAGCACAGCATGGGGAGGATGTGACCAGCCCTCTGTGGAGAAAGAAGTGGTTCAGGACTATTTAGAAAAGCTGGACAAGCACAAGCCCCTGGGGGTCGGATGCACTCCATCCGAGGGTGCTAAAGGAGTTGGCGGATGTGATTGCAGAGCCACTGGCCATTATCTTTGAAAACTCATGGTGATCGGAGGAGGTCCCGGATGATTGGAAAAAGGCAAATATCGTGCCCATCTTTAAAAAAGGTGAAGAAGGAGGATCCCGGGAACTACAGGCCGGTCAGCCTCATCTCAGTCATTGGAAAAATCATGGAGCAGGTCCTCAAGGAATCAATTTTGAAGCACTTAGAGGAGAGGAAAGTGATTAGGAACAGTCAGCATGGATTCACCAAGGGCAAGTCATGCCTGACTAACCTAATTGTCTTCTATGACGAGATAACTCGCTCTGTGGATGAGAGGAAAGCAGTGGACGTGTTATTCCTTGACTTTAGCAAAGCTTTTGATATGCTCTCCCACAGTATTCTTGCCAGCAAGTTAAAGAAGTATGGGCAGGACAAATGGACTATAAGGTGGATAGAAAGCTGGCTAGATCATCAGGCTCAATGGGTAGTGATCAATGGTGTCTAGTTGGCAGCCGGTATCAAGCGGAGTGCCCCAAGGGTCGGTCCTGGGGCTGGTTTTGTTCAATATTTTCATTAATAATCTGGAGGATGGCATGGATTGCACCCTCAGCAAGTTTGCAGATGATACTAAACTGGGAGGAGTGGTAGATACACTGGAGGATAGGGATAGGATATAGAGGGACCTAGACAAATTAGAGGACTGGGCCAAAAGAAATCTGATGAGGTTCAATAAGGACAAGTGCAGAGTCCTGCACTTAGGACGGAAGAATCCCATGCACTGATACAGACTAGGGACCAAGTGGCTAGGCAGCAGTTCTGCAGAAAAGGACCTAGGGGATACAGTGGATGAGAAGCTGGATATGAGTCAACAGTGTACCCTTGTTGCCAAGAAGACTAACAGCATTTTGGGCTGTATAAGTAGGAGCATTGCCAGCAGATCAAGAGACGTGATCATTGCCCTCTATGCGGCATTGGTGAGGCCTCATCTGGAGTACAGTGTCCAGTTTTGGGCCCCACACTACAAGGATGTGGAAAAATTGGAAAGAGTCCAGCAGAGGGCAACAAAAATGATTAGGAGGCTGGAGCACATGACTTATGAGGAGAAGCTGAGGGAACTGGGATTGTTTAGTCTTCAGAAGAGAAGAATGAGGGGGGATTTGATACCTGCTTTCAACTACGTGAAAGGGGGTTCCAAAGAGGATGGATCTAGACTTTTGTCAGCGGTACCAGATGACAGAACAAGGAGTAATGGTCTCAAGTTGCAGTGGGGGAGCTTTAGGTTGGATATCAGGAAAAACTTTTTCACTAGGAGGGTGGTGAAGCACTGAAATGGGTTACCTAGGGAGATGGCGGAATCTCCTTCCTTAGAGGTTTTTAAGGTCAGGCTTGACAAAGCCCTGGCTGGGATGATTTAGTTGAGGATTGGTCCTGCTTTGAGCAGGGGTTTGGCTAAGATGACTTCCTGGGGCCCCTTCCAACCCTGATATTCTATGATTCTATGAACATTAGGCACCTTCAAAATCTCTGAAAATAAGGCCTCTTAGCTGGTGTGTCCAAATATGGGTGGAGGTGCCTAACTTTAGGCATCCATATTTGAACATTTTGTCTCATGTCCTGTTACTGAGCCTGATCCAAAGCCCACTGAAGTCAACTGAAGTTTTTCTATTCACTTCAATGAGCTTTGGCTCAGGTCCATAGAGATCTAGTGTAAAGAGGATCTAGTTTCCATTCCTAATCATTAACACTCTGTTTCATAAAAATATAATTTGAAGAGGAAAATTAAGACCCTGATTCAGGATGATACTTAAGTATCTATGCAACTTCATGCTGACTTGGGACCAAAATAGATGTCAGCATTTCACAAAGAGCAGATGCATTAGGAGAGTTCAATACATTAAAAACAGGCCCATTTCCTTCCCCTCTGCACTTACCACTCGGGCCCCAAGTTGCAGAACTGTTTCTTTTTTAAACCGGTGTCCATCATTGTCCAAGATTCTTTGCAGGTCTACCCCTAATCTTTCCATGACCATGAATCTATAACTATTAGAAAATGCACAAGTGAGGAATCTTTGTAACACAGGGGACACAGATAGCTTTATATCAACAAGCTCAAAACATCCTTCATTTAATCGAAAATAGATCTTCGGGCAACTATGAGCCCAACAGTGTTGACTCCAATTCACCTTGTTATTACCTTTTTCCATTGTATTCAGCCGAGCCTGTTCCCCAGAACACCGGAATTCCTAAAAATCCTATTTGTCTGAGCTTCATCCACGTTTTGACTGTCAAAATAATAATAGATAAGCCAGAATTTAAGGTAGTCTGAAAATCTACAGTTTAACTTTAGTAATTGAACTATCATTAGAATCTTTGTTGTTAAAATGAAAACACATACAGGTAACTATTTTACCACAGCCCAATTAAAAAGTTCAGCAAGTAACTTTCTGCAAAAGTAAAGCTCTGAGTTCCTTTAATATACGCTTCTCTGAGTCATAACAACACAATAGGAATCCAATCAGTAGCTGAGAAAAACTAGTTCCTTTAAAAACTTTACTTTTTGAATTTACTTTCTAGAGTAAACAGTGGATCAACAGAGTATGCAATTAGGCCTCAATCGAGCAGAATACTTAAGTACATGTGCAATTTTTGCTCATTTGAAATCACTGGGACTGCTATTATGAGTAAAGAGCTTGCAGGTTCAGTGCCTAAATTACTACTAAATCTTGCAAACACTTAAGCATGTGAGTAACTTCATTCCTGGAATACTAGCCTTACTATTTAGTCCATGCAATGCCTCTGTCCATATCCTAAAAAATGGACTATGGAGAGAGGCTAGTTCTCCCTCAGGTTTGTCACCCTACTAGTCCTGATTCTATTTTCACTTACACCAGTGAGAATAAAACTAGTGTAAACCAGATCAGAATCAGTCCCACTGTCTGAATTATGCTTGATATAAAAGCTTCAAGATATCAATTGCTCTAATTGGAAAAAATTACCTTTTCATTTTATTTTGTTTTGCTGATATTACTTACTGTGCTCTTGTTTTGCAGCTCTCTGGTAAAACTTTAATTCAGAAAACAAAGGCCCATTTTCACGATATTCCTATAAAGGAACAAATAAATTTGGAGTGAAAAAGTGAGTTGGGGGCGGGGGGAAGTTCCTAAATAATAGATTGGAAGTTCCAATTGGGTTAAAATCCACTTTTTAAAAAAAGATACAGTATGACATTTGACAAAAGTTATTTTACATAAAATATAGCCAGTATATTGTTTTAAAAACCAATAACTTCTGTTGGTAAAACAAGCTGTTCACTGCAAATACCCAAAAGAAAACATGTAATACAGACTAACGCAAGTACTATTTAGGAAATTAAATTAATACATTTTAACTTCAATCACTGTATATTCTTAAATACGCAGTCTGATTTTTCCCCCCTCATTGTGATGTCCATGGTTAGTAATGGAAGTAAAGAAACAGCAAGCATTAAGGAATCACAAAACATTCCTCCCGCAGACAAATTGTGCTATGATGGAAGAATGGCACACAAAAAACATGCAATGCAACTCAATGCTCAAAATAAGAATAAATAGAAAATGCAAGTGAAAATGCTAGTACTTTAAATAATTTAGAAGTGAGATATGAACATTACCACTTTAATTACATGCACAGCATCATCTTCTACAGGAATATGAACGTGAGAGGAAGCTGTAAAATCAGAGAGATGGTGATGAAACTTCCCCCAACAGTCAATATAATTGCAACTAAAGAGCAAAACATGTAGTCTTAGTCAAAACAAAAAAAAGGGGGGTGGGAGGAGAGGGGAAGGGGACATTTCTCAAAACTGTTAGAAATGTTTTCCTTTTGAAATTTTGTCCAAATTTCAAAATTAAAAAAACTTCAACCTATTTTGATAATACTCGTATGTATTAATCCTACAGGAGAACCTCAGAGTTACGAACACCAGAGTTACGAACTGACTGGTCAACCACACACCTCATTTGGAACCAGAAGTATGCGATCAGGCAGCGGCAGAGACCAAAAAAAGGGCAAATATAGTATAGTACTGTGTTAAATGTACACGACTAAAAGAAAGGGAAAGTTTAAATAAAAGATTGACAAGGAAACTCTTTCTGTGCTTATTTCATTTAAATTAAGATGGTTAAAAGCAGCATTTTTCTTCAGCATAGTAAAGTTTCAAAGCTGTATTAAGTCCATGTTCAGTTGTAAACTTTGGAAAGAACCATAAAGTTTTGTTCAGAGTTACAAACGTTTCAGAGTGACAAATAACCTCTATTCCTGTGTCTGTACCTCTGAGGTTCTACTGTACTTTCAATGGAATGTGTGAACCCAATCGTAACTACAGAGCCACTAGAGCACCTCTACTACACACTCACACCAAACTTTGGTGAAAATATGTTACATTAAAATAGACTAATTTTTTCACTTTTCTCTGCAGCATGGTGCACAAGTCACTTGCTCGCTTGAACTAGGGTAAACTTGAAGTCTTTAAATCAAGATTTGAGGACTTCAGTAACTCAGCCAAAGTTTATGGGCTTATTACAGGAATGGGGTGGGTGAGGTTCTGTGACCTGCAATGTGCAGGTGGTCAGAATACATGATCATGATGGTCCCTTCTGGCCTTAAAGTCTATGAGGGAAAGAGAAGCTAAATTTAAAAATATATATATTATACATGGCAAAGTATTACAATGTCCACTGCAATATCCTATACAGTCAATAACAGGAGGAATGTTTAAAGCAACTACTTGAAAATACTGATATACCCAAAGTTGCTCACGTTAGCACTGTGATATGCCTATCACTGTATTGCTTTTTATTAACCACTTATATATTGAATATGCAATGTTGTAGCTATGTTGATCCCAGGATATTAGGGAGACAAGATGGGTGAAGGAATATCTTTTATTGGACCAACTTCTGTTGTGAGAGAGACAAGCTTTTGAGCTTACATAGAGCTCTTCTTCAGGGCTTGTGTGTAAGCTCAAAATCTTGTCTTTCTCACCAATAGAAGTTGGTCCAGTAAAAGATACTACTTCACCCATCTTTTCTCTTTATGTTGGGAGGCAGTTGGATACTATATTCATCCACTATGGTCCACAACTGAGGTGGACTATTTTTGTCTATACTATATATAACGCATTTTTTAAATGGACTCATTATTACGTAGAGTTACTTAACAGACTGGAAAGGCTCCAAAGGTTTAACAGTCTAATTACATACCTCACAGACCAGCACCACATACTCTCCTGCGAGTTTAGCCCATAGTTAATTACTCTATACTACATGTAATATGCCATGTGCTATGCTCGTTCTATTTGGTAGCACATGGCTATACATAATACTACAATCAGTTAAATGCTAGACTATGGGCTAAGCAGAGACCCTGTATGAGAGCAGTGCTGGAATGCAGCAGCACTCTTATGGCATATAAGTACATACAGAGTACCAGGCGCACTATATGGTTAGACTATTCTAGCAACAGTACTCCAAAATAATATGGCAACTGTGTAATCCAGATTCTGGCTATGGCATGCACATTTTACCTACACTAGCTGCAAAAAAAAAAAAGAAAGGAATGCATTGTATTCCAAGAATTATTTTTGAAATGTATCCTCGCACCTCTAGAACTTTTGTTTTCAGCGTTAGTGGAAATATTGTCATAAGTTACAACTACTGTAGCAGAGAAAAGTAACTGAAGAACTACATTAAAAATACAAGTTGAAATAAGGTCTACATTCTTCACCACAATTTCCAATTACTGTGTCTGGGCAATGCAGAAAATAAGATATCAAATTAACTCATGTCCAGAATTTCCTAGCTTTGCCCAGAGACAGCAGGCTGGGCTAAGATCTCAACATCAGCCTTAACTATGAATTCATAGAGTTTGTTGGCTTGCACCACAATCTTAATTAATCAGTCTTTCTGTGTTTAAATATGACAAGGTAACAACAGAATTTCTGGATGAACTGCGATTCCCTAGGACTGCATAGCACAAACTGCATTCAGTGTGACAAAGAAACATGCCAGTTTCATTTGCCAGTTCAAATGTGCCAGCTTTAGTTTTAGCAGTTTAATTTGTGGTAGTCATGTTCAGAATATTGGGAAGTATTCACAATGGTTCTCATAAAATCAGTTTGTAGACAAAGTTTACACAGTGGAAAAGAAGAGCAGTGTATTTGGCAGTTAGAAAAAATATCCCTGTTCCTGTCCACAGCTGGTCTCTATGCTGCTGCTGGATATTTGGGAGATAAAAAGCTCATTTTGGAAACATGAATAAGCTCAAGAAGCCTTTTTATTATCTTTTGCCTAGTTTTCCAGAGGATATGAAAATGTGTAGTGGTATTGTCCTCTCAGCTCTGTTTATGCAGGAATAAAACAAAACCTATGATTCAAAAATTAACACGGTACTCAAAAGCTAGGGCTAAGAACTGCAAATTAGTTTATGTAAAAGTAATGAAAAGACTAGTGAAATCCTGGCCCCACTGAAGTAAATGAGAGTTTAGCCATTTACTTCAACAGGGCCAGGATTTCACCCATTGTGTTTAATGTAAAGAAAGTTTTGATTTATATAAACATCCTAAAGAATCATTTTCAGAACACTGGCTTGGTAATAAATAAAAGCAATCAATGGTGGCAATCATTAAAAAGATTAAATATTTACCATCTACAGTTGTTAAATTATTGTGGTATTACCTATCAAAATGCCATGCAGAAACAACATCTAGTTTTAATAGAGCCCTTTGTATTTTTCCCCTTTTGTTTTCTTTCAGTATCTCATGGAATTGATCATTTCAGTTCTTCAAGTCCTTACACTCTAAGTTTCCTGAGGAAGAATTTCTCTGTTCGGTGATCATGATTTTATCCCATACTTTACCATTTTCTGGCTAGACTAATTTCTGAGGAAGCCTTTGGAAATGGTCTCTCTCAAGTCTTCCTTTCTGAATTTGGGGTTCTATTAAGCAGATATTGTATCCACAGGCCTTTAAAGTAGAATCTTGTGGATTTGGCTTCCATAGCACCTGGCTAAGCTATTCAGCAGAAAACTGACCTCCACTGCAAAATTATTTTGTGGGGCATCTGCAAATGCTTCCAGTACAGCACAGTTCTGGTAAAATTTTATTATAATTTCTGTCATTTTTTCATGAAACTTTAATCCTAATTCACCAGAGCCAAAATTTTGCCTTCCAGAGCTATGAAAGACACTGACTGACTTTCAAAGTTAATCTAGCTCTGAGCTGAAGGAGATACGACATATCCTTTAACCTCAGGAACAAAAGCCATTTCAGCATTCTTGAATGGGAATCCAGGCCCTTAACTCTTAAGCTTGATGCACGCATTGGTTTACGGAATGCCTGCACTCCTGCTCATCTGCAAGCCTGACACTGTGACCGCTCAGAAGGTACTATGCCAGTTTCAATAGGGAATAGGTGCCAATCAAAAATGCGTTTAGAGGGGCAGCCTGCATATTGCAGCAAATGCCATATCCTAGGGCAGAAGTTTCTCCTGTTATCATGTAATGCCAAATTAGGGACACATGCTTCATGGCATGATATCACATTGCATCTGTAAATGCTCATGGCCATCAAAGAACGCATTTCTGCTGATTCTCCTCCTTCTCCTTACTTTGTATACATCTTTCTCATGATTTGCTACAAACTCAACATATCCCTGGCAATCTCTATCATAAGAATCTCAATAGTAGAGTATTATACCTTTAGGAAATCATGTGGGAAGTAGCCTATAGCTGGACCTCTTTTCCACCCACATCTTAACACATACAAAAAAAGCTATACCTACAGTAACATCTGACCTCCCTACTCCTAACTACCATCTAGAAATGGACCAGAAATCTCTATGCCTTCACCCCTCATCTTGGGAGTGAAGACTTATGTTATGATGTAACCATCTAATGAATATGTGCAAAGGAAGTACGAGCACTGGCAGTGGTGAGGAAGGAAATTTCTAGCTTGTACATGGATGGTGAAATGCAAAGCAGACTTAACAATGATGTTGGAACCTTAACTGAGTATTGTGTGATATTTCTGCATTTAAATTTTCAGCCCTAACTGTGTATTAAAGGAGTCATTGCCATTGGAAATAAAGACTGATTTATGTAAAGACCAGCATCAATCACTAGCCATGATAAGGAAGATAAATGAGTATCTGGTATTCTCTCTCACTTGCACCCTTCTAAACTCTTGTTTAATTCTCCCACGTACTGCCACTATTCCCTAAAGGACTTTAAATTGGGCATTGTATCATGAAAACGCTGTATTGTTCCCTGTTTGCTTTGCTTTTCTCTCTCCCGTCAAATGAATAGGAATATTCTGTGTGAGCTCTATCATAGTAAGCCATTGGTAGAGTATAGGTAACAGAAGGAAAGCTCTAATATGGAGCAGCCTAGGTAGGACAGGCTCGTGAACCATAGCACTCTCCCTCGGCATAAGCAGTAGCTTGAAACTAATTGAGAAGAGCACTTCTAGACAGTTTCAAATTGCTTCAGGAGCATAGGGAGGAACCACATTGCTGGTAAGCTTTCTGCTGTTAAGAGGGATTCTAGAGAGATGTGAAAATTAAGAGGAAGAGGCAAGACAATGAAGGAAGAGAAGGTGCAGAGCAAAGAGGACACTTAAAAGTGAAGACAGAAATATTTAAAAAGGAGAGCATAAAGGGCAAACACAGGCACTTTTCTACTTAGAAAAGATTAGGTGCCATATTCCTGAACGGCTGAATCCAAGTGCACCATTGAATCCAAGAGCTCAGGGACAGTAAATAGCTTTCCACAGCTTTGATTTAGTGAACAAAGCCTTCCAGGAAATGCATCTTTGGTAAATATGTTGCAGAAGTAGTATAAAATTTTTCAAGTACATTGTTAAAGCTTAATGGAGTATGGCGTACACTTAATGGGGAATTAAGCTGTAACAATGCACATCAAAAACTTTATACTCCTGCTGTAAAACTACTTATTAAAAGATACAGCCAGCAAAATTAACCTTCATTTTTATAAAATAGCTGTGCTGTTCACATTTTGCAGACATTCAAACCTAGCATATCCCACTGTGTGGCCCATTTCGTTCAGTTCTCTAGAATTTCCTCTGGATTAGCTCCACATTTCAAGTATAGTAGTCACTCCACAACATAGAGCAATATATATATGAACAGAACTCTATTCCTCTCAAGAAAGGGGTGAAAAAGACATATCTCAGACACAGGACTACCTAAACGAGATCTAGTACTTATTCATTAGTATGTCCTTCTAAGGAACTGACCATGTGAAGTGTTCAGAACTCCTGAACACCACTAAAGACAATGGGATTAAAGAGTGCTCAAATCTTTGCAGAATCAGGCCCAAACTGAGCAGCTGGCTGGTGTTATTTCAGACAGAATGCCTGTCCATTTTGGTCAATTTCACAGTCATAGGATTTTAAAAATCATAAATTTCATGATTTCAACTATTTAAATCTGAAATTTCATGGTGTTGTAATTGTAGGGGTCCTGACCCAAAAACAAGTTGGGGGGGGGGGGGTGCAAGGTTATTGTAAGGGGGGTTGTGGTACTGCTACCCTTACTTCTGTGCTGCTTCTGGCAGCGGCGCTGCCAACAGAGCCAGGCAGCCGGAGAGCAGCAGCTGCTGGCCAGGAGCCCAACTCTGAAGGCAGAGCCACCACCAGCAGCAGCGCAGAAGTCAGGATGGCATGGTATGATATTGCCCCCCTTACTTCTGCGCTGCTGCCTGCAGAGCTTGGCCTTCAGTCAGCAGCCACCACTCTCTGGCTGCCCAGCTCTGAAGGCAGCAACACAGAAGTGGCATAGTATAGTATTGCCACTCTTAATTCTGCGCTGCTGCTGGTGAGGCGCTGCCTTCAGAGCTGGGTGCACAGCCAACAGCCGCCGCTCTCCAACTACCTAGCTCTGAAGGCAGAGCAGAAGTAAGGTTGGCAATACTGCAAGCCCTCTAAAATAACCTTATGACACCCCTGCCCCCCCCACAACTCCCTTTTGGGTCAGGACCCCCAATTTGAGTAACACTGGTCTCCCCCGTGAAATCTGTATAGTATAGGGTAAAAGCACACAAAAGACCAGATTTCACAATCCGCGACATGTTTTTCATGGCCGTGAATTTGATAGGGGCCTAGTCATAGTGAATAAGAAATAATCTTCCTTGTTTTGGACCTTTCTTTACAGCACAGAGTCAATCTTTGCTGATAAGTCTGATCCATTTCCTATTTCAGATGAGTTAGTTATGCACTGCTGAGTCAATCTGTTATTGATTGGAATGTTGGTGTGGATGGATACAGCTTGCTCAGGAAGGATAGCCAGGGGAAAAAGGGAGGAGGTGTTGCCTTATATATTAAAAATGTACA